CAAATTTCTTAGTTTTATATTTATATTATATTTTATTATACAGGCCCAATGCTTGTTTAGATCAATGATGTCTCGGAGACGAATGTACATGAAAAAGAAGGTTATTTCTTTTGCAAAAAAAATTATCTATTCAAAATATTATTAATTATTATTTTTCTCAACATGATGAAGTTAAGACGTTTCGGCCATTCAATAAACTCAAAATAGAATGAAATTTAATCTTTTTGTTGTTATTATGAACAGAAATTACAGAGTCACGGTGATACGTCTGCGCTAGGGAATATCTATGTTTCGGGCTATGAATTCATGACAAAGAATTTAATGTCATGTTTCATGGTGGGAGGCTTTTTCAGCAATGGGCTGTTGATATGTATGTGAAGGTGGAGTCAATGCGATTAGATTGGTACTCCAAATAGGTGCATCAAGATCTAATTCGTGCTGATCTATACCATGTTAGATGTATTTGAGTTGAAAAAGTTGATTTTTCTATTTTCAAACCCAAGGAAAAACCTATAATATTTTAACACATATATTCACCAGGGCCTTCTAGACACTCTTGCTGCTGGAGAAGCCCGTGCGTCACAAGTTGGTCATAGAATTGTACTATCAAAAGATTTCCTAGGAAGTGACCGTGATGTGCACTCAAGGTATATGGATGCCATGGCTTTGATTACTCGATATGGAAAGCCAGATTTTGTGTGTGACAATGACATCCAATCCATATTGGGATGAGATAGTAGAACAGTTATTGCCAGGACAAATGCCACAAGATTGTCTAGATATTGTGTCAAGGGTTTATAGAGCAAAGCTACGAGACCTCCAAGATTTCCTTCTTAAAAAATCATTTGGGCAAGGTTGCTGCCTGGGCACATGTCACTGAGTTTCAGAAAAGGGGATTACCACATGAACACTTCCTTTTGGTTATGGAAGATGAGAACAAAGTACGTACTCCCAATGATTATGACAAGTATATATCGGTAGAGCTTCCTAATCAGAAGAAATATCCAAAATTGCATAGACTTGTGTGCAAACATATGATGCATGGACCATGTGGTGTCCTCAACCGTAAGTGCCAATGTATGATAGACGGTAATTGCCGCTTTCATTATCCCCGTGACTTTTGTGAAACCACCCAGCAGGGAAAGAACTCATATCCTATTTATAGAAGGAGAGATGATGGACAAAAAGTAAAAATAAGAAGGGAATGGTTGGACAACAGATGGGTTGTGCCATACAATCCAATCCTTCTAATGAGGTATAATTGTCATATTAATGTAGAGGTTTGCAGCAGCATAAAGTGTGCCAAGTATCTATACAAGTATGTCTCTAAGGGCCACGACCGTGTTTCGGTTTCGATAAATCAAGCTCAGGCAAATTTGGATGGGAAACCACTGGTTATTAATGAGATTAAGCAGTATAGAAATGGAAGGTGTATAACAGCTATAGAGGCAATCTATAGATTATATGGTTTTCCTTTGTATGATATGTCACCTTCTGTGTTACAAATGCAAGTTCACCTTCTAGGAAAGCACATGGTTGCCTACAAAGCTAGGGATGATCTAAACAATGTTGTGCGAAATCCTAACTCTCAGAGGTCCATGCTTACAGAGTACTTCAGCACAAACATGTATGATCTTGGCACACGAAAGTATTTGTATAGAAAGTTCCCTGAGCACTTCACTTGGATAAAGTCAAAAAAGTTTTGGAAACCTAGAGAAAGAGGTGGTCAGATTGGAAGATTGGCGTATGCCCATCCTACTGAAGGAGAGCGATACTATCTCCATGTGCTTCTTAACCATGTGAGGGGTGCAACTTCATTCGAGCATGTTAGAAGTCGACATGGAACTACATATGCAACATTTAGAGATGCCTGTGAGGCCTTGGGCTATATGGAAAGTGACAAGAGCCTAGATGACTGCCTCACTAAATCTACACAATTCAAGATGCCTTGTGCTCTGAAGAGGCTATTTGCATCTATCATAGTTTTCTACGAGTGTAATAATGTCCGAGCACTATGGGACAAACATATTGATTCAATGTATGAGGATTATCGTCACTCAAATTGCAACTCCAAAATGGTTGAAGAAATGGGGCTTAGAGATATATCTATACATGTTAAATATATGGGTAGAGACATTACAAACTATGGACTTCTTGAACTAGATGCCTCAGGTAAACTGATAAATATTAAAATTCCCAAAAACTTTTTTTATTAATAATTAATAATTAATAATTAATGCTTCTTATTCATCATTTTGAATTTGGAATGACCCTTTACACTTATTTGATTAGATGAGATGTCAAGAGACCATTATAGAGAGCTTACGAAAGAATTGAATATTGGATATAAAGAAGAATATCTGAAAATGATACAAACACTGAATGCTGAGCAGCGAGCTGGTTTCGACTTGATTATGAATCATGTGGAGAAGAAAGTTGGCTAGGTATTTTTTGTCGATGGACCAGGAGGAACCGGCAAGACATATCTTTATAAGGCTTTGCTTGCAAAGGTGCGCTCCATGAATCTTATAGCAATTGCTACAGCCACATCTGGTATTGCAGCAAGTGTCATGCCCAACGGACGCACTGCACACTCCCGCTTCAAGATTCCCATAAAGCTAGATAATAACACTACGTGTAGCTTTACAAAACAAAGTGGTACTGCTGAATTGCTTCGATGGGCTGCCTTGGTAATATGGGATGAAGTAGCCATGACAAAGAGACAAGCAGTAGAACCACTCGACAGAACATTGCAAGGTATAATGGGTTGCAATCAACCTTTTGGTGGTAAGGTCATGTTGTTTGGAGGTGACTTCAGACAAATTCTTCCCGTTGTACGAGGAACAAGAGCACGGATCATTGATGCTACTTTACTAAAGTCATATATATGGGGCAATGTACGAAGGATTCGGCTTACCCATAACATGCGAGCTAAAAATGATAATTGGTTTGCGGAGCACCTGTTAAGAATTGGGAATGGAACTAAAAAAACATTTGGTGATAATTAAGTTCAATTGCCTGATGATATCATCGTGGAATGGAGGCAAAATTCCAATAAGAATGCAAATAAAATAAGTTCAGAAGACAATCCAATTGACAACGTTATCGAACAAGTGTTTCCGAAACTCAAGGCAAATTGTACCTCTGCAGATTATATGCGCAAACGTGTGATTCTTTCTACTACAAATGAGCATGTCGATGAAATGAATGCAATAATAATCGAGAGGTTTCCTGTAAATGAGAAGGTATACTACAGTTTTGACTCAGTGGATGATGATACAAGGAATAATTACCCTCTTGATTTTGTAAATTCTATTACACCTAATGGGTTGCCTCCTCATGAGCTTAAGGTTAAAAAAGACTACCCTGTTATCCTACTACGTAATCTTGATACTCACAACTGTCTTTGCAATGGCACTAGATTGGTCATTAGAGGATTTCAGAACAATACAATTGATGCTGAAATAGTTAATGGAGATCATGCAAGAACCAGAGTATTCATACCAAGGATTCCCATGTCCCCCCTCCAAAGACCATACATTGCCATTCAAGTTCAAGCGAAAGCAGTTCCCAATAAGATTGAGTTTTGCAATGACAATAAATAAAGCCCAAGGTCAGACCATACCAAATGTTGATGTGTATCTCCCTGAACCAGTTTTCTCCCATGGATAGTTGTATGTAGCACTGTCAATATGTGTTTCTCGTAATAGTGCGTGGGTTTTGGCCAACACAAATAAGGATGTTGACCCCACTGGAAAGAGCACAAAAAATATTGTCTTCAGAGATGTATTAGAGATGTGACACCAGTACATTCAATAATTTTCAAAATTATATATGTGAATACTCTCCAGAGTTTCATTGTTATTATTATTGTTTCATTACAAAGATTTTTTTTATAAGCACGTGCATGCCGCACGTGCATTTCTACTAGTTTAAGTTAAAGACTCATGATGGGCTTTGGAGAAAGAGGAAGAGAGAAGGAGTAAATGGAAGAGCGGGTGAGGGAGAGTGCGTGTGTGTGTGAGTTTGTGGCCGGTAGGAGAAAAGAAGAAGAGGCACATGGGCCTGTTGATCCATGGCCCCACCCGTGCACTAGTCATGTGGTGATTGGTGACACGCAGCCAAGTGGACCTTGCTTGTCAGTTGACATGGGGAAGCACACGCAGGGAGATGGTGTCAATGATTTTCACCGGTGGTTCGTAATATGAACTGACAGTGAAAATGATTTTGACCGTCGGTTTGTATTACAAAGCATCGTGGAAAAACATTACAGACCATTTTTATAAAACCAGCAGTGAAAGTGTCGCTGGCGAAAATGCTTTCTTTCATAGTGACAATGCATGTGAGCATAAATGTAAAGTAAAGAGGATGAAAATTTGTTCACCATATTGATGACATTTGTTTTTATAGAAAGGTTCTAATTTACATTCGATGTTAATATGAACAATGCAAAAAGAATAAACACTGAACAAAAGATGAATAAATAAAATATTGAATATGGTTTCCTTTATTAGATAACATATTGAAACTAATACAGGACGGTGGCACACGGATTCTTGTATCTGGTAATCTCCATGCGCAATACATTCATGTATCTATCTATCTATCTGTCCTGTCTGTCCACCTGTCTATCTATCAATCTATCTATCTATCTATTTGTCTGTCTGTACACTCTCTATCTATGTATTTGTCTGTCTGTACACTCTCTCCCCTCCTGCCCGCCTACCTAGAAGGCAGGCAAACAGGTCGTACACCCATTCGATGTTAATATGAACAATGCAAAAAGAATAAACACCGAACAAAAGATGAATAAATAAAATATTGAATATGGTCTCCTTTATTAGATAACATATTAAAACTAATACGGGACGGTGGCACACGGATTTATGTATATGGTATTTTAAGTTAAAGATACGTCATCTATATAACTATGAACAAACAAGGCAACAAGGATACTAGAATAGAAGTGATACAGATATACAAAAACTCTACTTCTGCACATGGCACTCGTCCAAGGCACAACAAAGAGGATCGTGTGTGCTGCACTATGCATTGCTCTTGTGATACTGACTTCGACCCTATCGTCTTGCGACGATGGTACGTATCTATCTGCTTTTATGTATTTCCATCATTTAATTTGTTCATGGTTTTCTAAGTGAATTGTATCGCATGCAGAGGAAACATTATGTGACCCTATGCACCCATGCACTAACGACAAATGCTTATCGGAATGTGGAGTCAAGGAACGCAGGGTGAAAAAGTTTGTAAAGAAGATCAGATGCGAGGTTCATATTAATCCAAATGAATGTTGCTGCACTTTTTTTCCTCCACTCGGAACTGGTCATGTTGGAAGTCAAAGGCAGCACAAATGATAATAGCGGGTTTCTACATTGAATAGAGTAATAAAATGGACAGGAAAGCATGCATGGCTTGACTCTTTCATGGATGCAGACAATACCAGGATGTTGTTGCATGCAATGTATCCATGATCTTTTTCCTTTCCAATGTAGTAAAACAAGTACTCCTTTTTCCATCTCTACGCCAGTGTTTTACACCCAAACTCTATGGCAACAAATATAGTATCCAACATATTGTTTACAACAAAATAATTTAATCATACATTTAAGATTATTAAGACCAAATACCAGTTATCGATTGGCCCAGTACCCTGGTTTCAAAACATTCGGTTAATTATATCCTATTTATTGATAAGTTGATGAACGATAACTTCTCTTCTGACCTAAAAAATCCTTAAGTTAAAAAAGAAAGTCATATGGTTTGTCTCCTCCATAGAAGTTGAAGTCCCTATGCAGATTCAACTCTCGTCCTCTAAGCGCATGCCTCATTGTTTCCTTCTCATGTCAACACACGCATCAATCTCCATGCGCAATACATCCATGTATGTATCTGTCTGTTTGTCCATCTGTTTATCTATCTGTCTGTCTTTCTGTCCATCTATTTATCTATCTGTCTAACTGTCTGTCCACCTGTCCAGCTGTCTCTCAATCTCTCTCTCTCTCTCTCTCTATCTATCTGTTTATCTATCCATATGTTTATTTGTACACTCTCTCTCCTCCTGTCCGCCTGTCTAGTAGGCATGCAAACAGGTCGTACGCCCATTCGTATCATCCATCTATCTTAACTATACTATTAGAGCAAATTATCTTAATGCACTAAAAATCATATGACTTTCCTCAATGGCAAAAACATTGTTCCTTTCTCCTCTGTGCCACTAGATAAATTTTCACTTATCCTAGTGGTCACTTCAGTCAGGCTCTATTAATTTTTATGTCACTGACTAAATACGGACACATCATATAATAAATATCCTTCCCTATTATTAGATGCCGAATATACCCTCTATGACTAAGGCCCTGTTTGGTTTCCCATGACTAAAATTTAGCTATTAAAACCAATGACTAAACTTTAGTCACCCTTGTTTGGTTCTAGTGACTAAAGGTCATTAAAGCAGTTTAACAAAAACCAAACCAGGGAAAAAAATTTCGGCGAAATTTCGCGAAATTCGCTTCTTTCGACCCGGGGTGAAATTGGCCCATTTGGATTTGAAAATCTCGGCCCATTTAAAACAGACCCGGTCGCTATCGATACAGCAGCCCAAGCCCATTCTACTGCTAACCCTAACTCCCCCAAATATGCAATCGGCAGCCTAGGGTTTCATTTTTCCTTCTCCACGTTCACTTTGGCGGCGGCTGCTTGGTCCGTGCGACCGCGCCGCGTGAGCGCGAGCGCCCCAGCAGGGTGCCCATCCCCAGCGCCGGTGGGGCTCAACAGGGTAGAAGAGAGCACACACGTTGTGTGTGGCAAGGCAAGGAATCGCGGGCGCGGCAGTGCGAGCTCGCTGCGAGACAGCGACGCTTGGCAGGGAGAGGCGGAGGGCGGGAGCAGGCGGCACTCAGAATCAGTTCGGCGGCGGCGCTCAAGATGTCATCATCGCTTCCTCCTCCTACAAGGTATGCCATCCCGAGATAATGTCGTTCAGAATTTCAGATCCCCAAAACAGTGATTAGAAATTGTGGATTGTGGAACCATGTCTGATTTGGTTAATTTTGATTGTGTATTCGACTCTATTCCCATGAAACAAGTAAGATAGGAGTTACATTTTTCACTCGATTGCAAAAGCATGTCTCGATCTAGGTAATGTATGCACAATGCATGGTAGTAGTCTGATCCCTGATGCTCTGTTCCATTTCTGAGGAAAATAAGTTCAATCTATTAAGGTGGCAGTTTGATCCCTGATGCTCTGCTCAATCTCTGAGGAAAATGTCATCCTATTGTATGCCAAATTTAGCTAATGTGTACTTTAAAAATGTGAATTTTCAGTGGAGAGGGTACAAGCAATTCTAGCAGAGCTGGAGCTGTTTCTCCAGCGGTGCTTATTGATGTGGATGCAGCACCCACTCCTGCTGCCATAGGTAAAATTCTGTTTGGAAATTTGTATTAGTAGTTGCATATTATTTACTGAAGCCAATGTCTTTGAATGGTCTTTTGTGCAGGTCAAGTAAAAGATGACAACATATTCAATGTGTGGAATTATGGTTTTAGTGTTGGACAAGGATTTAGATGTGGGTTTTGTGGCGCTACCAAGAGATCTGGAGGTGAAACGAGACTAACACAGCATCTAGCTGGGGTGCCAGGTGATGTCGCTTTTTTGCGAGAAGGTGCCAAGTGATGTGAAGCATGCTATGTGGAGAAAGCATAAAGAATCTAAGGATAGGAAGAAAGATTTAAAGAGGACCAAAAAGAGGTTGGAAAATACTCTTGTGAGTGAGATGGGTGGAAAAGGAAGTATTTATGTGGCAAGCGATGAGGAGGAGGAGCAGACGCGCTTGTTAATGGCATTATCAAGACAAGATAATGATTTGCAGCAAGAAGTGAATATGAGGCAGGCCTCATATGAGCATGGATCTGTTAGTTCATCTGCCCTAGCAGCTAGTAGCGGATCATGCAGGAGACCTCCTACTGTACAGCCAAGGATTGACTCATTTGTTACATCTTCTAGTTCTGTCCAACCTAGGATTGACACCACCTTGAAGCAAGGAGAGATGGAAAAACTTGCACAAGCTTGGTCCAAATGGTTTCATGCAAATGACATTGCAGGGGTAAAAGCTAATTGTCCTTATTTTCGAGCAGCAATGAGGTTGACTCAAGAGTTAGGAACAACAAGTAGGTTATTCAGTGGGAGTGACATCGATGGCCCATGTTTGGATGCTAACTATAAAAGCATTGAGGAGGCTGTTGAGGTCTTTAAAAGGGATTGGAAGAAATATGGTGTTACAGTCATGTGTGACTCATGGACAGGTACGACAAGCATGAGTATTATCAACTTCATGGTGTATTGCCATGGGCGCATATTCTTCCATAAGGCTATCAATGCAAGTGAGCACATCCAAAATGCAGGTAATTTATGTCATTTTGTATGTCTTGCAGATTATCTTTCATGATTCGTATGTGCTCTAATTTTTGTGTCTTTGCATGTCTTGCAGAATATTTGTATACACACATTAAGAAAGTGGTAGATGACATTGGCCCTAAGAATATTGTGCAGCTTGTCACTGACAATGGGGCAAATTACAAGAAAGCATGTGCCAAGCTTATTGACGAGTACCCCCGTATTGTTTGGCAGCCATGTGCCGCTCATACAATGCCTGCAGGTAATTTTTTTAATCACGACTGTCTCAATTTTTTGTATGCTCCTTCTGAATACATCATGTACCTCTTATTTTTTTGTATGCTCCTTATGAATATATCATGCACCTCTTATTTTCAGCTGATTGGTGGGTATTATTTGGTGGTGATACACCAGAGCTACAGAAGTTTGCCATTCGTATTGTTTCGCAGTGTGTCTCATCTAGTGGGTGTGAGCGGAATTGGAGTACTTTTGCACTAGTTCATACAAAACTGAGAAACCGCCTTGGTTATGAGAAGCTGCAAAAGCTTGTGTATGTACGCCACAATTTAAAGCAACGTCTCAAGCAAGGTGTAGGGAAAAATCAAACAGAAGAGAAAGAGGCTGATCCATGTGCTCTGTTGATGGATTGCACATTATTTGATGAATCAAACCCAATCATGGATTGGTTGAACAGGCCAAAAATTGTAGATGATGATCTTTGTCTTGAAGAATTGCTTGGTTGGTCAAAGAAGAGGAAAATTCTTGCTTTACAGAGGGCTAATAGGAGGAGAAAAGGTAAGAGGGTTGTTGAAGATGAAGAAGAAGACTTTGTAGAAACTGAAAACGACATAGATGATAGCAGTCCTCATGGCAGCCCTGCTTATGCAGAATCTGCTGATAGTAGCTCAGCGAATGACACAGACAATGAACCAGAGCATAGGGATGGTAATTACTCATGTGTGAATTTACTTCTTTTCTTTTTGACCAAAGACAAAGAGGCTAATGTGTTTAATTATTTCAATAGGTGATACTCTGGGCACACACCAACAATTTGAAGAGCAACGAGAGGACGATAATCGAAGGGGACAGCGTGCTAGGAAGAAGAAGAGGGTTGAAGGATTTCTCTATTAGCTATGTGGTCTTTGTCTTTAGATTTTAAGTATGGACTGTCTCTGAATTTGAACTATGGACTTTTGATCTCTTTCAGACCCCTTTTATGAACTATTATGGACTTATCACTTATCTATGTTCCCAGTTATGACTATGAAACTATGAACTGGACATGCGTATGTTCTGTGCCTGTATTGTATGAACTTGTACGTGTTATGCCCTCCTGTGGACTGTGGAATATTGTATTTGTGGAACTCTTCTCTATATCTAACTTAAAAGCATTTTTTCTAATTCTGTGCAATGAAATTTTGCCCGAAATTTCGTCCGAAATTTTGCCCGATTTTTTTTAAAAAAAATTCAGTGATTTCGGCCAAAATACACCTAAGTTTGAACGTGCAGGTTTACACGAAATTTTCGAAATTTCGGTCAAAATTCGTGAATTTTGGGTTTTTCGGCCTTGGCCGAAAAAAAACGCAAAACGAAATCCAAAACCTTGAACCAAACTACCCCTAATGAATACCTAAATCAGGCTGGGGGACCTCTAATAATGAGGGGCAACCCTTGTCCACTAGGCACTTTAGCCCACTTTTAGCTACTCTTGGGTGACTAAACTACTTTATTCCCTTTTTAGTCAGTTTGTTTGGCAGTTTAGTAGCTAAAGTGACTAAAGTTTAGTAGCTAAATTTTAGTAGGGGTAATTAAACAGGCCCTCACTACGCCAGATTCTAACTGTAGGAACGAGAACATTTTTACTATAGGGGCGGCTGGGGTTGGGGGCGCCCCTACAGTGGGTGTTCTCGGGGCCCAGCAGCCCAGCCGCCCCTATAGTTGGCACTGTAGGGGCGGCTGGTAACCTGAGCCGCCCCTACAGTTGAGGCTGATCTGTAGGGGCGGCTCAATCACCAGCTGCCCCTGCAGTGCCCACTGTAGGGGCGGCTCAATCACCAGCCGCCCCTGCAGTGCCAGACTATAGGGGCGGCTGAATCACCAGCCGCCCCTACTGATGGCACACGAATAAATAGCAGCCCTTACATGATCATAGTAAACAGTGTGATTTCTTTTTTTAATCTGTGGGTTAACTTTGTAACTAGTTTTTCTTCCTCATACTAACTCCAAATCTGATGATTTTTTTTCCTAAAATTTTCTAAAATCATTCTCTATCAATTTATTTTGTTGGTTTTGTCAATATATACATATGAAAAGTTTGAGCAATTTAAATTTTGAATTTTAAAAAAATACAACTTCAGACAAGATTTTGGTACCCCAAATGATTTCAGCTGAAAAAGTGATAAATACCAAAGTTGAATAACTCATCAAGATCTACAACTTTTGTATTGGTCATTTCTTTATATGACAAAGTGGTAATGACATTGTTCACAAATGTGACACATCTCTCATAAGGTTTTATAAACTATATGAGACATGTGTAAGATTAGTAAACAATGTGTGCTGAGAATTTGTCAAATGAAGAAATGACCAAAATAAAAGTTGTAGATATTCATGAGTTGAACAACTTTGGTCTTCATCACTTTTTATGTTGAAATAAATTTGGGTCTCAAATTTTGGTTCGAACTTGTCGTTTTTCAAAATTTCAAATTTGAAAGGTTCAAATTTTGTCAAATGACAAGATGACTAAAATAAAAGTTGTATATATTAATGAGTTGAACAACTTTGGTATTCATCACTTTTTATGTTGAAATGATTTTGGGTCTCAAATTTTGGTTCGAACTTGTCATTTTTTTAAATTTCAAATTTGAAAGGTTCAAATTTAGTCAAATGACAAGATAACCAAAATAAAAGTTGTAGATCTTGATGAGTTGAACAACTTTGTTGTTTATCAAATTTTCATTTGAGATCATTTGGTGTCTCAAAATTATTTTAATAGTTTTGATTTTAATTTTTTAAAATTTAAATTTTTTTCCCCATTTTTAAAGGTTCAATTTTGCAATTTTAAACTGTTGTAGTTGTTTTAGTTATTGTATATGTAAATATATCTATAAAAAAATAAAAGTTGTAGATCTCAATGAGTTGTACAACTTTGTTGTTGATGACTTTTTCAGCTGGAATCATTTGCTATTTCCAAATATTGTTTGAAGTAGTCATATTTTGAAATTCAAAATTTGAACTGTTCAAACAAAGTCCGATGGAGTAATGGCAAAATAAAAGTTGTAGATCTTGATGAGCTTTATAAATTTGTGGTTTATGACTTTTTCATTTGAAGTCATTTGCTATCCAAAAATTCTGTCAAAGTTATAATATTTTGAAATAATATTTATAAAAAATATATTGACCGGGCCTTATTTAGCTCAGCCCTCCATCTCCCCCTGCCTGGGCCTGTTTGGCCCACTCGTCCGTGTAGCTCTCTTGACCGTCTGATTAGATCGGACGGCTCACATCACACCCTTAGCCGGTCAAAACCTGGGTCGTCCCGGCTTCCTGAACCCTAGCTTCTTTCTTCATCCCTCCTCCGACTCCTCCACTTCTCCCGTTCCACACGTAGCGACGGCGGCGGCGGCGCCTGGTGAGCCCCCTCGCGCGTCGGGAGGGCCGGCCAGCAGGTGAGAGAGAGGGAGCCCGCGACACGGCGAAGACCTGGCAGCAATGGCCTGAGCGCTGAACGAAGGCCGTGTTCATGCCCCTGCCAGACGTCGTGCCAGCGCGTCAAAGGCTCGCACGCCGGTGAGAAAGAGAGGGAGCCCGCTGTGCGACGGGGGCCCGGAGCAGCTGCCGAGCGAGGGACACGAGGAATTACTCGTCGCGAGCGAGCAAAGCGAACAGAGCGCAGCGGTGGGCTGCCGCGAGCAGCCGAGCAGGGAGGCCGGAGGCGCTCGCAGGGAGGCTGCGGTGGGCACCACCTCGTCCACGCTGTGCGGCGGCGGGCGCACGGGGATCCATCGTCGAGCACAGATGGAGCCTCCACCTTCTAATCCTCCGACCCCAACCTCAGATCTGCCTGCTTCGTCTTCCAGGTCACCCTCATCTCCTCTATTTTCCCTTGCTATTCCTACTACGTCTGCAAGATGGATTTGCCCAACCAAGATGTCTGTAGTTCTGCTACTACTTGCCATAAAAAACAGTTTGCGTGGTCCAATAAAAAAACAGTCTGTAGTTCATCTCCTCTATCTTCTGAATATGTTTTTCAGCAATATGGCATAGGCAGTAGCATTCAATGATTTGTGTTCACACGTAGATGGATGACAGTAGCATCCGTTGATTGCATAGATTCAGTTTCTGGAGAGCAATTTGCCATGTACTGATAACCTTAGATGAGTGGTCCAATAAAAAAATGACAGTAGTATAATTATAAATACATGGAATGCCATTGCTTGGACTTTTATTTGCTACAATTAACTGCGTCGGGTTTACTTTAACTGGATTAAACTTTAGGGAAACTTAAAAGGGCAAAGATATGAACATTTTGAAATGAACCGACTCACAAATCTGTAATGCAAAAATGCTGACAAAACACAATTTGACTGCATGTAGCTGTGAATTTATAGGTTTCATTTATTGTGATACCCTAGTTGAAATCAACTCGAGAGAGTGAACTGAACTTTCATATGGCTAGCCTTCGTCTCAAACTGCAGAGATGGCTTGGCCTATGTCTCACTCTTTGTTTCTCAAATTTCCTGTGGAACTTTATTTTCTTGTACTGATTAAATAGTGAGTATTCTTAACTTGGATGGTTGAGTCAGATAGTTTTTGTTTTGGCTATTCTCCTCTGTTACTTATTTTTGTTTCTTTCCACCAAATTTCAAAACATTGTTTTTTTTCAGAAAGAGCTAATATCTGGTGATCAGAATGGAAACATACGTGTGTGGGATTTGGCCGCTAACTCATGCAGCTGTGAGTTGGTGAGTCACATACTCATATTCCAGTATTATGGTACTTCTGTGGAAAGGGTAATGCAAGAAAACAATTGATCTGTTGGTTCCAATTATTTAGGTACCGGAGGTTGATACTGCTGTAAGATCTCTGACAGTCATGTGGGATGGGAGTATGGTGGTTGCTGCAAATAACCATGGGACATGTTACGTTTGGCGCCTACTTAAGGGTACTCAGGTCAGTCTGTTCTGCAAATAACCGTATAAATATAGAGTTTGTGATTTCTGAATTTTTCAAATTATGTTATGTAGACAATTACCTGCTTTGAACCTCTGCACAAACTGCAAGCCCATGATGGCTACATTCTGAAGTGCCTGCTTTCACCAGAATTTTGCGATCCTAACAGGTATGAACTACACCGTGTTGCCCTCTGCCTTCCCCGATGATTTATCAGTTGCACAGTTAACCGGTCTGTTCTCTCTTGCAGCTTCTTCAGACACCACAGCGAGGCTATGGACGATGTCAACCGGAGAGGCCACAGGGTGTACCAGGGTCATCACAAGGCCACCGTGTGCTGCGCTCTCCATGATGGGGCAGAATCAGCGCCCTCATAACCATGTTGTGACTGCTTTCCTGTACATACTTTGGATTGCAGAACTTTTTTTCACTCTTAACTTATGACCTGGTAGCGTTTAACGCCCAGTTGTTGAAATGCGGGGCTGTAGCTATATATGCAGCAAGCGGTAGTGTTTAACGCTCTGTTGTTGAAATGCGGGGCTGTAGCTGTATATATGCGGCAAGCCTCTGGGGCTGCGTACAAATAATTTGCGTGCTGTTGGTGGATGATTCTGCAGAATTTTAGTGGTACTTCTTTTTGCTCTATGAATTGAATGCAGCAATGGTTACGCATTGAATTTTTGTGGATGTATATATGTATATTTGTGGCGGTCAGATTCGAATTTGAATTATATATATATATATATATATATATATATATATATATATATATATATATGGTCAGATTTGAATTTGAATTATTTATTTTTTTTGCTGGAAAATCAACTGTAGGGGCGGTTCTTGATTGAACCGTCCTTACAAATACACACAGTAGGGGCGGCTGGTGATACAGCCGCCCTTACAGAAGTCCACTACAGGGGCGGCTGATATTACCAGCCGCCCTTACAGAGGGAACTGCAGGGGCGGCTGAAAACACCAGCCGCCCCTACAGAGGTCACTGCAGGGATGGCTGAAAACACCAGCCGCCCCTACAGAGGTCACTGCAGGGGCGGTCAGGAAACCGCTCTTACAGAGACACCCTCTGTAGGAACACCCTGGGAAGGGCGGCTGACGCAGCCGCCCTTACAGAGGCTTTTGAGCCGCCCCTACAGTTAATTTCTGTAGTAGTGCCTAACACTACAAGCCCACCCAAAAACTTCACGTGTCATCCACACAATGGATACCATCTCCCTCTCGCTGCTTACTGTCCAGGTGGATGTGCAGTGGCAGTGGCGGGGGGGTTGGTGTCCATAAGAGCTCGAGTGTTGCTTCCATGCGTCGATGCCTGGGTAGGCACAGCGACAACCATGTGTCGCTCCATGCGTCAAGGCCCGGATCATGCCTCTGCAGCAAGCAAGCCATAGATGTGCCTAGCATCGCAGGCCACATGCTACACCTGGCCGAGTATCTGCCGGGTTCAATCGGTTCTACAATGGCTTGCCAGAGTACACAGTTCAGCCACCCAGTACTGCTTTCCTATGTGGTGTATGCTCACGTTGCTATTTGATAGCATCTCTTTTTTACACTACTGCACAAATCTTAACGGAGGTGGTCATTTTTTGTTTACGGAGACGGGCAAAGCGTCTGCCTCTGCCAAAAGGCCTGTGTTAATGTAGCTTTTATGGTGGTGGACGCAATGCCCATCAATGAAAATCAAGGTTTTCGCAGCCGGACACAATGCCCACCTGTGAAAATGAATCAGGAAAAACAAAAAAAACCCATCGACAAGCACACCGAGCCACTCCACGTGCCGCTGCCGCCACTCTCTGGATCTGCGCGCCGTTGTCGTCGTTAGCGCTAGATCCATTGTAGGAGGACGCACCCACCCATGATTCGCTGTCGGAGGATGCGCCAGCCCTGGATCCGCGCCGGCCCTAGATCCACTGCTGGGGGGGCGTGTCCGCCTTCCACCGGATCGAGCCACCCTCTATCGGACTCCAAGCTTCCTTAACAGATTTCTGGCCCGTCACGGAGCCTGCTCGAAGCTGCCGTCGCAAGGGAGACCTCCAACCACACGGGAGGAGCGGCTCAACATCCGCCTATGCCTCCCTGCCTCACGGACCGATGCCGGCTCTCCACCATGGTGCGCACGGGTGTCCCTATCGCTGCTCCATGCAACACGCGCTGCCGCCGGCCAGAGGCGTTTGGCATGCCACCTCAAGGTGCGCTGCCCCCCGTCGCCTTGCCCTCCATCTGCGCGTGCGCAAATCCAACCGACGGTGCGAGCCCCTGCCACCACAGCTCGTCACGAAGAAGATGAGAGAGATTCCATTTTCACGAAAAGGAGATGGAGTCTGAGAGGGAGGAGATGAGAGAGGGCACCACGGATAGAGAGTGGAGAAAGGAGGCGGCTGCGGTTGGGCTGGGAAACCCTAGTGTTCGTTTATATACTCAGATGCTGGTGGGCTGGATTTTGGGCTCGGCCACATTAACAGCTGAAAATGGCCACATTTTTGGAGGCAGACCTCTTAGGAGGCCCACCTCCTTTAATCAATTTTAGGAGCCTCGGTAAAGCAATTTTAGGAGGCGGGTAATTTTCTACTGCCTGCGTAAATAAAACGTCTGTTTCCGTAAATCCTTAGCTAATTTAGGAGAAGCCTAGACTTAGTGCCCACCTTAGAAAATCATAGGGCCCAGCCTCTCAAAAACCATTTTTGTAGTAGTGTTATTTATTGAATTCATTTGTTCTTATTTGAAAATCATAGGGTCCTGCCTCGCAAAATCCTCATAATTGCTGACATGAAGCTAATGTGATTCATTCTCGAGCAGAGGTAGTTGAAGATGTCCAATGCCGCATCCGCTTCTTGTTGTTCTATTTTTCTAACAAAGAATAGATGTGGGGAATTGGAGAAAATTGAAGAAAAACATAAGGGGTTGGTGGTTGCCTCGCCACAGCCTCGAATCCATTTCATAGCTATCGGTGCACATGGCAAGTTATTTATAGCGGTCTGTGCCACTTGCATGACCAGATACAGCAGTGGTCAAGCCAACACGCACCGCCTGGCCAGGAGTCTAGGCGTCCGTGCGAGCCGACTGAGAGCAGCCAAGGCGTGTGTGGCCATGCCTGTCAAAGCCTCACGCAGGGTATGACTCCCTATCCAAGAATCACGACCTGGGAACCCATGGACTGGCGGAGGAGGATGATGGGGTTGCGGCCTGATGACGAGAACAGTAGCCGAGAGCCGTGGCCTAACTGATGTGGAGGACGCCTATGTAAATTCCTACGGTAATTGTTTGGATTTAGGAGCAAAATCATCATTTCCATATGAACATATTTGTAACTTCACAATCCAGTGACAGCAATGGCAACAAGGGAACCGGAAATCTCAAAGTGGCACACAAGGCAAACAGAAAAATTTCATGGCAGTGAAGTATGGTCCACACAAGGAGAAAAATTTTAATGGCGTCTTTTTGACAACTCGTTGAAAGGTCCTGACCTACAAGAGGTGGTCGATGTCTTCGTCTACCTCAGGATTACATATGACACAGAGTGTATCATCCTGGATGCTCAGGTGTCTCCTTTTTAACATTGTTTTCGTGTTGAGCCAGTCCACCTGTATTAGTCAGATGAAGAACTTGACTCGAGGAGTGCAGCAGAACTTCCAAAGCTCTCTGAAAAAGGGGTGCACTTCCTTGGTACTTAAAACATAGGCATAGAACTTCCTTGAAGAATAGCTGGCGCCCCATATTGGCGTCCATGCGTCTGATGAGTTCTCATCATATGGTATGGCTTCAAGCTGACTCTGGAGATGCTGAAGTCCTTCATAGGCTTGTTTTGAAAGAGAGAGAGCCAAGATTGTATCCAACTCTTCTGCTTGCATTACTTCCTGAACAGAAATAGTAGTCATTACATTTTGTTGTTTGATCAAATAGTACACCTATCTGATTGGTGACTTGCCATATGTCAAATCCAAACTATTTCTGAAGACTTCGTATATGTTTTATAGGGAATGATGGTAACGACTTCTCTAATGCAGAAAAACACTTATGCACTATAATACATTATCTTAGGACTCGGTTATCCCATTCTTGCACTTATTGATTCTGCTATTCTTAAATGAAATATTCGACATAGGGTCGAAGGATTATAACTGTTTCTGCGTGCAAGAAACCTCATAGCCTTCCTCACCTGTTTGTAATTCAAATGGCTTCAGGGTGAATGGCTGCCTCAGCCTGGCCATTAAGGTGACGATGACGCTAGTCGAAGCAAAGATCTCGCAACAAAAGACTGAACAAAGGCTCAGGAGATCCTAAATTAGCAAACATTTTCCAAAGCGATCAACTCAGAATTTGATTTCCCCTTGAGTACTGCTTCGAGCTATGCCACCTTTGGTGTCGTTTCTGAAATCACTATTTCAGCCCATTCAAATCCAACTTATTCTTGCACCAGGTTTTTGCAAACGAAGTCAGTACTCTAGGCTGTGAAAAGGGCAAGTCGGCCTTCACCCGAACGGCCCTGGCTGTTCGGTTTGAATATCGTGTTTATTAGCTTAATAAGTTTTCACCACTACAATACTTTTTCTTTTATGCTCGGTTAACATGCCGCCTTTTACATCTTCATATTGGTTTCACCACTGCAATTTGGTTCAGCTGCTGCGAAACCTACCTCAGCATCAAAGCCTTGGGTAGTTGCGAAATCGATTCGGCAAACTGCAAAGTCACCAGCAGTGATATACGCAACCTTCCGCAAGCCCCCAAACCATCTTTGGCAACACAACCTTCGGGCCATGTGCTTTGCTAACAGGCATAGTGCTCTAGAAGGAATATTGGATCCAAACAACAAATTCGGTTTCTTTCAAAGATAACAAATGATCCCGGCCAATTACGACTTACAAGCAAAGGTGCAGAACTCTGGTTTTCACATACGAATTAGTTTTTGACTATTGGCTTTCCAAATGAAGCTTTCTCACACTGAGTCGCCTGCTCGCTTACAAATGTTTTGGTTATATGGAATCGGTTCTCAGGTGAAGAGCTGCCTTATTTTCCAGAGCAACTCATTTGTTTCTATGAAGACCTTCGGAAGAAGTTGCTTATCTTTTCAAGCACCTAGTTTTCTACGCAACAAAGAATTCCCTATGTTTTTTGCCAGAAGGGTTTGGATATCGCGATTGACGATTCTGGCTTCTAATCATCTCCCAAAGTACGTCTAGGCACATGAATTTTAGCTGATGGTTTTCTTCCAGGTACATTGGTTAAGATAACTTAGGAGCGCTATTGTCGTATTTCATCTCCCGAGCTAAGCTGGTCTGATATGGTTTCTCTGATCACCAATGGGCTCCGTGGATCTGCAAAGTCTTTGCCAAGCTAACCCTCCCATAGAATATTTTTGCCAATCTGG